CCCCCACTCCTCCCCTCTCACCCAAACAGACTGGACCCGTGGTCTGTACTATGGTCCACTTTGTCCACACAGGTGACCAGGAGGCTGTGATAATGTCCAGATTTACAATTGGGCACACAAAAAAAAAAAAAAAAAATTGTATATTTTTACTTTTAACTACTTTGTACTACCTGTGACACCTACTTAACAAAGTAACCGTTCGGATCAGTACCTCTTTTCAACCACAGCACACAAACCTGGCATTGTCCCTTTAACGTGGCTAAAAAAAGGGGGGAATTCAATCCGAGGCTAAGAGAACATAATGAATCCATTGTCAAATCCCATAGAAAATCAGCAAGTGTTCATTTTCACTGCAAATGCAAAAACATACATGAAAGTGTCCAAACTTTCTGTGGTTTGCGCGCGTGTGTGTGTGTGTGTGCGGAGATGATCCACTGTGTGCTGTGATGTGTTGTGACAGTGTTGTGATGGCGGCGTGAAGCTGCAGAAGGGAGACGCTCACACAGGAAATGGAAATACTGTATTCTTCATGTGGCACAGGGGCGCCGCAATTTACTCTGATAATGATAACGCTAAGAGACAGAGACAGGCGGGGGAGATGGGAGACACACACACATACATACGGGTTTATGTGTCTTGTGAGCACTTCAGGTTTATGTATATATTCCAATCCTTCAGCCCAAACTTCAACTATCATGAAACGATATACCTTCATCTTAATCCTTACCCGAGAGTTAATCTGACCCTAGCTGTAATCCTAACTCCATAGTCAATCTTGTCTCCACAAGGACGAGACGTCCCCACAACTTTATTGTTTTTCCACGGTCCCCACAAGTGTAGCTATCCCAGAAACACATACACACAGTGTTGTACCTGCTCATTTAATCATTTCTTCACAATTTTTTTTTCTGAGAATTTTTTTTATTATTTTTTTTACATATTTTCATATGAACTGACAAAGCTTTCCTTTACAAAATCTTTTTTGTTTTTTTTTACAGTACTTTTATACATGCGTTGATGACTATTGACTTACCATTATTTAAGTACAATCACATAAATAAATACTTCCTCCCAGCACAAAAGTGTATATATATATTACGTTCGATCTGTTGTACTGCACATGCTAATTTGAAATAATATATGAATTGCATATATTTAGCAAAATGATTTTGGTTGCGTTGCTGCCATCTCCTGGGCTGGAGGGTGCTCATCAGATGGTGAGATTAAAACATTACGTTTCTTTTAGCCGTATTTTGACAGTAACTTATTAATCAATATAAATAATAATAATACACAGCTGTGCTTGTTTCCGTCCGTTGTTCTGTAAACTGCTCTCCACCTTCCTAAATCTCAGCCAATCTCCTCCTTCGACACATTTGTACAGCAGGTGCGAATGTGCTGTGGATCGCATTTACAGGTTTTGTTTGTTTGCTGCGTTTTGTTTCGTCTGTTGACTGTTGTTTCTGCGTCACCTGAAACACCCGAGGAGTCAGATGTTGGGGTTTTTTCCCACACCAGTGCCGTTGGATGTTGGGTTTGGACCAAGGCTTCTGTGGCTGTAGGTGACAGTGGGAGGATGACAGGAGAGCAGAGTATGGTCTGGACCTGGACTTTAGTTAGAATCAGTTAAACAAAATCTTAGTCAACACTGGTCTCTCTCTCTCTGTGTGTGTGTCTGTGTGTGGTTGGAGCAGACGTTTGTTGATTCTGTAAGTCTTCCCTCCGGTTGTGTTACCGTAGGTGACATGATAGTTAGGAGGACGTCAACTCTTAATCCTGTGCAATTTGTTACTAACAAGTGTAGATGAGGGCTCGGATTATCTCTGTTAGATTATCTCTGTTGTTATTATTTCTAATTATTATTTTTATTATTCTGATCTCCACATGAAATGATGAAACGCTCTCTCTCTCTCTCACACACTCTCAATCTCTCTCTACCCCCCCCTTCCATTGGATTACAGTGATGTTATGCTCTAGATAATCAGTGAAGGGATTAGTGTCATCTGAGCGACCTTACCAGATTAATCTGCTGCTGCACTCACACACTCACACACTCTTGCGCACACACACACACACACACACGAATGCAGACTTGCTCTTACGTGTAGGTTTATATAAGTACAAACAATTGTAACGTGTGTTTGTGGGTTTGTGGTTTGTGTGTGTGTGTGTGTGTGTGTTAACGTTTCTCATGGCCATACCCAGTGTGTTATAGGTCTTGTGTGGTCTATGGTTTTATGAGTTGAGGAATTGAGTGCAAGTGCATTGGATTGTGTGTGTGTTGGGTCAACTGAATCATGGTTTTAACAAGACAAGGCATAAAAATAAAATATTGGAACCAATCGATATGTACAAATTTCGTCCAGTCACGACAAAAATAGTTTGTGTGAAAAATTGCAAAAAAAAACAAAAAAAAAAAAAAACGTGTCATTTTATCCTGGACAAATAAATTCTGGACAAAGAAATGAAAGTCAGTCAAAGAATTCAAGAAATTTAAACATTTCTCTGAAATCACCTGAATTTTATGCTTAACGTTTGTAAAAAAAAAAAAAAAAAAATCTAAATATAAAGCCCCGAAAAGCTAAATGTTAAATTAAAAATGGCCGAATAAATGCCAAAATATGTTAAAGATGCCTAAAATTTAGTAGGAAAAGGATGTAACTGAGTTAGAAAAACCTGTTTCCAACTTCAACGTTTGCTAATAGTGTTCCAAAAATGTAGGGGAAATTTGCACAGAAGATGTTGAAAATCTATAGTAAAGTTAATAGAAAGTAACAATTAGCTTAGTTCAGAGCTAGCCCGAAAGGCCCGTCAATAGAAAACATACATCTAAGTATAGAAATATATAAGGCAAATATATAAAAGATTAAGAAGGTGACAAAAATGTCCAACAACTACAGCAATAATTGCTATTTTACGATTAGCTAATAGTAGCTTAAAATTGGGCAAAATAGCCAAAGAAAAAAAAAAGATGAAAAGAAGAGAGTACAGTTTTAAAAATGTAATTATCCATAATACCTTCAAATCCCCATATATAATATACGTATATGCTAAAGAACAAGTTAAAAACACAAATAAATATAAAAAAAAGGAGAACTCTGGTATTGTTTCCAACTTCAACGTTTGCTCCAAATGTTTGCAAATAGTGTTCCAAAAATGTAGGGGAAATTTGCACAGAAGATGTTGGAAATCTATAGTAAAGTTAATAGAAAGTAACAATTAGCTTAGTTTAGAGCTAGCCCGAAAGGCGCGTCAATAGAAAACATACATCTAAGTATAGAAATATATAAGGCAAATATATCAAAGATTAAGAAGGTGACAAAAATGTCCAACAACTACAGCAATAATTGCTATTTTACGATTAGCTAATAGTAGCTTAAAATTAGGCAAAATAGCCAAAGAAAAAAAAAAGATGAAAAGAAGAGAGTACAGTTTTAAAAATGTAATTATCCATAATACCTTCAAATCCCCAAATATATAATATACGTATATGCTAAAGAATAAGTTAAAAACACAA